AGATGATCAAATTAGAAAATAAACTTTTGAAATAATAGAGGTAGGCATTTACCATATGGCTCTAGGAGACATAAACTGAATAGAATTGAGATATAATTTTAAAACTCTCTGAATAATGCAACTTATATAATGAGCTTCATTTATTTTAAAGTATATTAATCTTTCTGGACATCAAAGAACCTCTAGCAACACCTTGCCTTAAATAAGCAAGGTGTTCAAGAAACATTCAGTAATCTAAAGGAGTTACTTAAATATGTTCAGATTATTTTTACATTTATAAAAAAACTGTTGCCTTTGAGATGAGCGAATAATTAAAGTAAAGAAAATAGAGAAACATACTAGTAGAGGTAAGAATAGTACACGAAATTAAAAACAGTTCGAAGTACTTCCCTATGTTTTAAAACCAGCCATTTAATTTTATGTACATTCGTTACAAAATGTGAATACTCAACTTACAACTTTAATGCAGCAACCAGCCACTATATTATCATTTCCAGTACTATAAAAGCTTGCATCGAATTACTGTGTAACTTCCCAAGCAACAACACAGTTCACATAAAAGTTTGAGTTAGACTTTATATGAAAGCTTCCTATAATAAAACCATTATTATGAGCGTCACTAAGGAAATAAAAATAAATCACATAGCCCACTGAGATTTAACTGCCATTTTGGATTTTTTTTAATGTTAAGGAAAAACAAAAAAGATAATGGAAAGTATATACTTCAGTGTTGCATCCCTATATCAGATGCTTGGTAATATTATAAAAAATTAGTAACAATTTAAATATGCCTCTACTAAGAAATGCATTTTACATTTTCATATATTTAAAGAGTCATAATCTCTGAATGAAAAATAATATACTGATAAGCTAAAGCAAACTGTCAAGAAATCTTGATCTTTCCTTCAAGTTAGGCATTGAGATGGTATTCATTCAACTTATAACTGTTCTGCCATATCCCTAGGTAATCTGAAATGCCTATTTATACAGCTGATACGTTTGCAAAGTCCTCTTGATTTTCAGAGTTCTTCAATTCTTTCATTTTGCAATTTCTCTTGTAAAATGGACACAATATAACTACTCTTTGAAACATTCAAAGCCCAATATAATTCTGTCCAAATTTTGCTTCTCTGTGAATTCTTTCCTGACTTCCCAGCAGCTTATCACCCTTTGTACCAGTATGTCACTAGACACATACATCTATTATAACAGTTAACCCACAGAAACAACTACTTGTTCACCAATGGCTATTAGTACACCTAGATTACAATAAAACTATTCACTGACAGCTTTTTACCAGGTGTTAGACTCCAGGCACTTTGTAGTACTGCCTCAGATAACAACTGTACAAGGTAAGAACTGCCATCACCACATTATAAGTAAGAAAATAGGTTTACTGATATTAGCTACCCACTAGTAACTGACAGAGCTGAATTTGTACTCACATATATTAACTGATAATCTGAAATTATCCCAAATTATGGGAAAGTAATCTTATGAAAACTTATACTGAAAACCAAATAAAGATGGTATGGAAAAAATATAGTTGCAAATATTCTAAACAAAATATTACCTTACTGGATGCATTCATACATCTAAAAATAAGCTATAAGTAGGTAGAGTGTATTCCAACAATGAAAAGGTGGTTCAATGATCAGAAAATCTGGGAATATAACCTAATCTCCACATAGCAGTTTGTTTTTTAAAACCACAGGAGCAACATCAAGCAAAGAAATATAATGCCTAGAAGTAGAGCAGACCTCTGGTGAAGAAAAGGCAACAAATGTGAAGAAAAGGCCAAGTCATTAGCAGAGACTTGAGTCCTACATTATCAAGCTGCTGATCTACATAGGGACCTTGTCAGATGAAACAAATAAACTCATCTGGTCTTTGTCACTAGAGTAGGCTTTGGAATTTGAGCCGAATATATGCCTAATACATTTATTTGTGGATGCATAAATATGTAATAAAAATAGGCATAAGAATGATGAATACCAATTTATTAATTATATTTAGAATATTGGTCACCAAGACCTGAGCAGTGTACATAGGAGTTCTCACCATGTGACACCCAAGTTTTAAGCTCAGTGGTGAATATACAGGCATTTGTTGTATAAAGTTTTTATTTTCAATCAATCTGAAATATTTCATTTTAAGATCACATTCAACATAAAAAGGCATAGTAATTCTTACTTTTTGTTGAATATAACCAGAATATGCATAGTACACATACAGCTCAAAAAGTATCAAAAATGAACACACCTGTGTAATTTAACTACTTCCAGAATCAAAACATCACCTCCCCAAAAAATTCCCTTATATTCACTCCGAATCACTACCTCCTTCCTTAAAAGTAACTACCATCCTGACTTCTAAAACCAGACTGGTCATGCCTTCTTTTCAATTTCATATAAATAGAATCACAGAATGTGTTGTTTGCCTTTTTTTGTCAACACCATAAGATTCATTTATGTTATATGTAGCTGTAATTAACTATTGCTATAAGGTAGCTTATATACTACTCTATTTATGTAATTTAATAGTGAATTGGGTTGCTTCCACTTTAAGGCTGTCACAAATAATGTTGCCATGAATGCATGTCTTTTAGTGTATATGTACATAAACAATTTTGTTAAATACTTATGTTCTGAAATTTAACATTTCACTTGTCCAACCACAATAGATATTGTTATTCAAGGTGGTTGTATGAGTTTAAACTCTAGCAGCAGTGGATGAGAACTGTTTCATATTCTTGATCCTGACTAACATAGGCATGTCCATCTTTTATTCCAACCACTCTGATGGGCAAGTGGTAGTACCTCCTTCATTACCAATGAAGCTGAACCCCTCTTCATATTCGCTGCCTAATTATTTTCTGTGAAGTGCTTGTTCAAGGATCTTATTCAAGTGTAAATAAGATCTTGGTCTTTCCCTTAGTGATTTGTAGAAGTTCTTATTTAATTTGAATACAAGCTCTCTTTTCAGTTATGTATCTTGACGCGATATTCTCCTACTCTATGCCTTACCTTGAGGTGAGTGTATTGCCTGAGCCCACGGGTTTGAGACCCGCCTGGGCAACTTGGCGAGACCTCATCTCTACAATAAGTCAAAAATTAGCTGGGCGTAGTAGCGCGCATCTGTAGTTTTAGCTACTTGGAAGGCTGAGGAAGAAGTATCGCCTGAGCCCAGCAGATCGAGGCTGCAGTGGCCGGGAGCGGCCACTGCACTCCAGTCTGGGCGACAGAATGAGACTCCAATTCAAATAATAATAATAATAATAATTTTAATTTTAATATAGTCCAAATCCCTTTGTGCTTTTTGTTTTGTTTGACAAATGTTTCTATATACTAAGATATAGAAGATATTATTTTATATTATCTTTTAGAAGATTTATTGTCTTGTGTGTCATGTTTGGTTCTGCAAACTGCTTTAAATTATGTATAGGCAGATTTTTTTTTCAAATGTATATCCAGTTGACCAAGCACCGTATACTGAAAAAACGGCCTGTTCTTACTACCTTATGGCCTTCATCATAAATCAAGTATCCTAATATCTGTAAGTTAGTTTCTAAACTATATGCTACCATACTGGTTCTACTTGTCTATCCTCAGACCAACATTAACACTGTCTAAATTTCTCACTTATTATAAAAGTGAGTAATAAATTTTAATATCCACTAGAGTGAGTTCTCTCTCTTTTTTATCATGGCTGATCAGGATATTCTCTGCCTTTGAATTTCCATCTAACTTTCAGATTATTTTCAGTTTCTACACACACAAACACACACTCTCAAACATAAGACTGTGATAGCACTGAATCCATAGATCAATTTGGGTAAAACAGTATCATTATAATAGGGAATCCTCCAATCTTTGGTGTATCCCCCTCCATTTATTTAGGTTTTTAATTTCTCTCAATATTTTAGTTTTCCAAGAGGAAGTCTTGCTCATCCTTCTGTTAAATTTACTCCTAAGTATTTGATGTTTTTTGATGCTTTTGTAAATGTAAAATTTTATTTATAAAATTCATAAAAATAACTAAAATTTATTAAAGTATGCTTCTGATAAGTAGAAACAAAACTGACTTTTATATTGACATTGCTAAATTCATTTTCTACGGGAATAAATGAATAATGGCTGAGTTTTGTGTATTTTTTTTAGCCTTTATGCCCTTTCTTTTTCTTGTCATATTATAATAGCACGGATTTCAGTATAGTGAGAAACAGAAGCGGTGATAGGCATTCTTGTCTACTTCCCTATCTCAGAGAAGCTTTTAATATGCACCGTTAAGCACTTTTGCTCTAGGTTTTTTTATTGCTACCCTTTATAAATTTAAGTCAGTCCCCTTCTGTTACTAATATGCTAAGAATTTTTATAAGTGGGATATTAGATATTCATAAAATGCTTTTTCTTCATCTACTGAATAATCAGATAATTTTTAATCATTACTTTACTGTGAATCACAATATTTGTCCATATTTATTAATCTACTCATTGCATACATTGCATGTAATCACATAAGTTGGCATGCACCTTTTGATCATACACACACCACATGTATAGTTTTTTCACTGACCCATCTGACAGTACACTGCAGTCTTCATGACATTTTGCCACAAATACTGCAGTATGCATTCCCTGAGTTTAAGGATATTCTCTGATACAGCCATAACTACCTCACCTACAATATTACCTAATAATACCCAAACCATATTCAGATTTCTCCAAAAGTCTAAAAAAATCTTTATAATTTTTTTCTGATTCTAGAGTCAATTGAGGATCACGCATCACTACATTTGATTATTATATGCCTTTACCTTCTTTTAATCTTCAACAGTACTCTCATACTTTTTAAAAATAACATTATATGACATTCTTTATTAAAGCCATCAAGGCATTTAGATTTCTTTGTAGTTAAGATTTTTAATTATATATCAATTTCTTTAACAGTCAAATATTCAGTTTTTCTATTTCCTCTTTTGTCCATTTTAGTCACTTTTGTCATCTTAGTCCTTTGAATCTGTCAGAAGCTCTGCTCATCTTCTCATCCTCCTCTTTTCCATCCAGGCTCCTCTTCTGGAATGGACAGTCACTTCCAGGAAAAAGTGGCCCAAATACCAGGATCACATTTTCTGGGTTGATTTCTGCTTCCAGATCTTGACCCTATAATTCTTCACTTCTTTGGTAGTTCTCTGATACAGTCAAACAAATTTTGTATTTTATAGTTTTTCTAGTTATTCTCAGCAGAGAGTTGTTCAAATTACCTGTCTGCCATTTTATGGAAATTAAAACTCTTTGTACTCTTTTGTAATCTGCAATTTTCAAAATATCTATTTTTCACAAATACTCTTGAAAATCCACCTGTCATATTCCATAAACAACAGGTCTTTCTATTTCTAAATGTCTACCCTTATATACATAGACAGAGCCGCCAGATTCTGCTAATATCTTTTAATTCTTTCTTCTCCAGTCATTGCTTTGTAAACTGCTCTCCCTCCCAGGTTTTGATTTCTCACTTTTTAATAGGAAAATCTTATTTCCTAGACAACTCACAAAACCATAATGGACTTATAAATACCATAAGCCACATTCTCTAAGCCAGTCCTGTTCAATGCACCTTTTGATTCACACTTTTCTTAAAGACAAAGTATTAAAGGTAAGATGCATAAAAAAGTCAAAACCTAAATAAATCAGAGGTTACAAAATAAACGGATCTTTGTGTGACAAAATAATTTGAACAGTGGAAGAAACTAGTTCAGTCCTGGCTGAATCTTGATCTATATTCAGACTAGAGAGAAATCCTTAGATCAATGGTGTTCTGGGTTTACTTCAAATATTCTGATCTGCCTCTAAAAGAGATGTTTTTACAGCGCTGATTAGGGAACTATAGGATCTTTCTACCAACTGTCTACTATCCTTGACTCCCACCTTAGTTTCTATCTTCAGTGTGCAAATCTTACTAGCCTCCTGAAATGATAATTTAACATTCTTACAGAGATACTTGCCTAATATATAATGCATCTCATAAATTGCCACTCTCTACCTTGACCCCTTTATTTTAAAAAATGTTTTGACTTAAAAGTCCATAATATACTGACAAAGTTCTGTTTATTTTATAACCTCTTGTTTGGGTTTTGATTTTTATGTGTCTTACCTTTAATACTTTGTCTTTAAGAAAAGTATGAATCAAAAGGTGTGCTGAACAGGACTAGCTTACAGAATGTGGCTTTATGGCATTTATAAATCCATTATGGTTTTGTAAGTTGTCTAGGAAATAAGATTTTACTATTAAAAAGTAATAACTGACAAAATTTCATTAACAACAGAATATAGGTTACCATAAAAAGAGTTTCATTACCAACAAAATATAGATTAATAAGATTGAGTGCATTCTTCAAAATCCATGAAGGAGATAGGAGATAGCTGTGCCTACCAAAAGTAATTGGATATACTAAGATTAAGGGTCAAGAATAGTATTAACTGATACATTTCCTTAAAGCTAAATTATATTATTAATATAATTTGAAGGAAAAATCAAACTGTAAAAAGGTATGGGGCTGTATTGCATGTAAACTGGGGAAAGGGGGAATACTTAAAAATAACAAAAAAATAGCTGGGCACAGTGGCCCACACCTATAATTTCACCACTCTGGGAAGCCAAAGCAGGAGGACTGCTTGAATACAGGAGTTCTAGACCAGCCTGGGCAAAACAGCAAGACCCTGTCTCTACAAAAAATAAAAAATTAGCTGGGTGTAGCGGTGAAAACATATAATCCCAGCTACTAAGGAGATGGAGGTAGAAGGATCCTTTGAGCCCAGGAGTTTGAGGCTGTGGTGAGATATGATTGTACCACTGCATTCCAGCGTGGTCGACAGAGTGAGATCCCTAACTCAAAAAAATAAAATAAACAACAAAAGGGAAAACTCATTTGTAAGACACTGTCAGTATTATAGGTAGTGAGTGAAGACCATAAAGGAGTTTTAATTGGATTCTCAATATTTCATTTGTTTATTGAACATCTACTATATTTCTTGCAGCACAGCAGGAGCCAAAGTAGAAAGATACTGTGATCTCTATACCCCTGTATCACCAAAGCATTCTCAGTCCATCAGGGAGGAGACAGAGGTCAAAATTATCAAACAATGAGAAAAATACACTCTAAAAATAATGAAGAAAGCCTATGCCATTTCTTCAGAGATAAGAAGTATTTCACCAGCTGTACACAATGGGGAAAGTTATTTTAACACAAAAAAGAGAAAACATTATGCAATGTTCAGAAAATTACGACAGTAAACACTACACATGTTGGCACAGAGGTTGCATGTGATACAATGACAAAGAGATAAGTAAATTGTGTCAACTCATAAAGGAGCTTTCTTAAGTGTCATTCTAAAAAAATTGGTCCAGAAGGTAAGCTGGGAAATAAAATTGAGCTTTGCCTTTTACAAAGATTAGTTTAGTGACAGTGAAGAAGTTAGATGAGAAAAGAAGGTAAAGTTATACACGACTAGTAGCTCAGACATGAGATGATCAAAGCCTGAAGTAGGGCAATGGTAAATAAACAGAGGAAGTAAATTTAAGAATAGCTGAAAAGTCGACTAAACAGAACATGACTTCTGACAAGGAAAGTTAAAAAGCTAGGATTTCTATCATGTTTCTATTTCAGTATTTGGATCTAGGCCTCCCTTCACCACATACCAACCAGGGAAACAATCTAAACTTCACCCTGTTTCTTCACATACAAAATGCAGGTATTAGACCAGATGTACCCAGATGTTTCCTCCAGCTTAAAATATCTATTGTTCTAACTAAACAATATACGTGATCTTAAGTGTCTCATAATATACTTAAATGAGATTTAATTTTTTTATTATCTTGCTCTGCCTTTTAAATACAATTACACCAAAATTACTTGTGCCAAAAGAGAAACATAAAAAAAAAAAAACACAAGGGCATTTTCCCCATGAGACTAAGCTTTTCAAAGATGCTCATTTTAATTACATTTCCAGTTCAGCAGCATCTTCATCCAGAAAGGGTAGCTATCTACTATTCAACTATTTAGTTTCACTAAAGCTAATAGTTATTCAACTTAAGCACAGTATTAAAAAGTAGGTGTAACAGAGCACTTGCCTAAATGCAACATTAAAATTTTATCTGAGAGATATTATTTTAAGATATTACATCTCAAAATAATCAACTACTTAAACACATCAATCAGTTGATTAGTCCCTAAGAATAAACCAGATGTTTCACCACAGTAAGACCCTAGAATTAAATTTAATGACAATTTAAATTTAAAACAGTATTCTTTAACTTGTGGACACAGATATTTAGGGTAGTAATCTAAAGAGTTTTTTTAACCTTAATTTTCCTATCATTTATATAAAAAATGATTTAGTCACAGTACTAAATAAGCTCAATATTTCTTTTTTCTTTTTTTTTTTTTTGTGTTGGAGTCTCACTCTGTTGCCCAGACTGGAGTGCAGTGACCGCTCCCAGCCACCACAGCCTCGACCCGCTGGGCTCCGGCGATCCTTCCACCTCAACCTTCCAAGTAGCCGGAATTACAGGCATGCGCTACCACACCCGGGTAATTTTTGATTTATTGTAGAGATGAAGTCTCGCCAAGTTGCCCAGTTGGGTCTCGAACCCGCGGGCTCAGGCAATCCACTCACCTCAGCCTCCCAAAGGCACGGGATTACAGGCTGAGCCACCGAGCCTGGCTAGGCTCAATATTTCATTACTGTTTTTGCTAAGTATTCTGAGGCATTTTATAATAAAACTAAAGAAGAGGAAGGACATTCTGTAGTTTTTAAAAGCACTTAAGTCAGACTCTAGTAGCCCCAACATCTTACAAATGAATATAGTGAAAACTAAGAGACTTAAGATCCTATTTATGGTGGAATATTTTGCATTTTTGCTAGTTTTTTAAAAGACCCTAACTACCTCTATATTCTTAAAATATAAAGTGTGATTCCATGCTAAATGCTACTACAAATCTCATCAAAGTGTGCTCTAGATTTCCCCTAGGCATAAGCAAACTCAATTTTTACTTAGCAAACTTCTGAAAATCATCTAACTGTAAAACTTATAAGACATTTATTTTGTACTCTCACAACCTAGAACAATAAGGACATTCAATTCAATATTATATTAGATTACAGGTTAATGATCATTAAATATCATTGTTTTGAAAGTCAAAATATTTGAAGAAAAAAGCAAAGACTTGATGACCATAAGCAAGTTTTCAAGTCCATGAAATATAACAGAAATACGCTCCAAAACTGGTATAAGGAAGAAAACTGCCAACCAGCATACGGTAAGGTAAGGATCTAAATTCTTTCTTTACCAAGAAATCATCTGAGAAAAAATTTTACTTATCAAACAAATCTTTATTAAGATCCTAAAATATGCCAGGCACTGGGATTACTTATTAGAATACTAAATACAGGAATATGACAATAAATATAAGACCATATTCTCAGGAAACCTACATAATAGTGACAATAAACAAGCAAAATGTCAGATAACGATATATGTTATAAAGAAAATTTATAAAACAAAGTGACTGCATAACAACTCAAGATTAAAGAGAAGGGCTCATTAAGGAAATAACTGGGGTTAGCTAGTTTAAAAATGACCAAAAAAGGATCTACCTCCACTAAGATTAGTGCAGAACATCCCCAGCACAGGAAGCAGCATGTGGGAAGATCCAAAACAAGTAGTAGCTTGGTAAATTTGCGGAAGTCATAGTCTGAAAGCACAGTTGGTGAGGTCAAGGCTGACATGAGGTCAGAAAGAAAGAGGGAGACCAAATCATACAGGACCAGAGTAGGAGTTTGGACTTTTTGTAGGTACAAGCCTGCTGAATTTGGAAAGTTTAGAACTAAAGTGGTATTAAGTATGCTTTTTAGTTATCAGAGTTTGGAATAATATGATGAATTTCAATATACAGGTATTTTACTAGAGTCATTTGTTTTGTTTCATTTAGTTTTGTTTTTAACCTTGGGAAGTAACCTGATTTAGTTTACAGTATTACAATTTCAAAAGGTAATTTCCTTCAAATAAAATCAATTGATACGAATGTTAGTGTGAAATGGGAACTGAGGCAGTCAAGGTACAGCTTAAGTGCTGCTCTAAGAGATTGAGCTACATGGCTTTTAAGTTCCTTGGAGCTACATTAAATTTTTAATTTATCCTCATTTCTATCAAGAGAGCTTTCAAACTCTAAATTCCAACAAATCCTTTATACTTGACTGTATTATAATTACTAATTTACTTCTGCCATGCCCGTAGGACTACCATCCTCTATCCCAAGCTCATTGATAAATAGGATTGTCTTTCATAATTATGAATACTTGCCTGGAAATTTTAGCTTTCCATTATATAGCATATAGTTTACACAGAATCTATTTTTGAGCCTTACTCGTTCTTAAAAAAAAAAAAATAGAAGAAAACTATACCTATTTGCTTTGCAGCATGTAATATATCTTTTAAGTCTTCATTTAAAATTTGCATTTTACTCTTCTCCAGTTTTTCATTCAAAAATGTTACTATCTTCTTCCATGTCAGTCCCAAATCTAAAACTTGCTCATGAAGTTTAGATCGCTTTATCTGAAACAGAGAGCATAATATAGAAAAATATTGCTTAAAGTTCTTCTCAAATCCATCACTCATAGAACATATCTTGCATTACAAAATACAATCTGGCACTACCCATACGAATTTAAAGTTGTAGAAATTCATATCCCTATTAACTGCTCTCAGAACAAGTTTTATGTAAATGGTATTAATTCAAATCTTATCTGTTTATAAGATATGCTTAATAAAGCATCTTCTTTGTTTTTATTATAATACATACTAATTATGAAATCATTTTCATACAGCATAGTAAAAAGTTCAACAACTGATAACATTTCACATAACTCTTTCCATTTTTCTCCTCGTTTTAAACATGGTTTAGTCTTAGACTATAGCATATATGAATAAGAGCTTTATGCCATGCTTTTTGAAAGAAGAATTAAAGAAAATTAGATTACTATGTTGGGTTCAATATATTCAAGTCAGCATTACTTTCTTAAGCATGACCCTATGACAGGTTAGGCATTCAGAAGATTCTTTTCTATACACTCTTTTCCTGAGACTATAAATCTTCCCATTCTCAAGAACTGACCACAGAAAGCAACCAAAATTTTATTTCAGACAGTTGGCTTTGATCCATAGATAAAACTCATGAAGCTTTCTAAGCAAATGAAAAAATCAGTAGATCAGGGGGAAAACTGTAATTTTACTCATGGCTATACTGATGATAATGCATAATTCACCATTACATCCTTGTCTCCGTTTTCTAATTTAAAATGGGGTTTTGGGGAAGGAGAATGAACAAAGGTTGAAATGAAGTAAGACTGGCTATAAAAATAGAATTAAGCTGTTACAGTCAGGTCATAGGTAAACATAAAGGTTTATCTTATTTTTCTCTCTACTACTGTATATGCTGGACAGCTTCTGAGATTAAAAATTACTTTTCTTCCATAGGGAAAAAAAGTGTATAAAAATCCGCAGAAATAAATGAAATTACATGGGATAAGTATATAGCCCTTATACACTTTTAAATTTTAAAAACTTCTGTTGTATCTCTAGTACAGAATAATTTGCAAAAGACCTTGGGGAGATGAGAACAGGAAATAATTCAAGTTTAAGACAGTAATATTAATTAACTGTATAGAATATACCTTTGCATTAACTGCCTTGAAAAATGTAAAATAATAACCATTATAAAATTCTGTACCATAAGAGAAAAAAAAAATCTATCAAAAATGGTTATAAATATTTTCTCCCTAGTGTCAATCTTTGAGTGAAAACTATTGATTGCCAGGCTCGGTGGCTCAGCCTGTAATCCCACACCTTTGGGAGGCTGAGGTGAGTGGATTGCCTGAGTCCACGGGTTCGAGACCCGCCTGGGCAGGCGAGACCTCATCTCTACAATAAATAAAAAATTAGCAGGGCGTGGTAGCACGCGCCTATAGTTCCAGATACTTGGAAGGCTGAGGCAGAAGAATCGCCGGAGCCCAGCAGGTCAAGGCTGAAGTGGCCAAGAGCGGCCACTGCACTCCAGTCTGGGCGACAGAGTGAGACTCCAACTCAAAAAAAAAAAAAAAGAAAACTATTGATTGTAATTAAAAACTTTCAGCAATAAAATTACAACCGTCTAGGAAATGGTATTATTATTCCGTAATAGATTCAAATAAAGAGTCAGCAATTAAAGTTAATGCTGTTTTTTTAAAAAAGAGCAATGGGTCAGATCTATCACATACTCTATTATGTGCTTCATTTCTTCACATGCACAGCTCATATAGCTTCAGACCCATAAAGTTCACAACATGTATAAAGCATTTACCCTTTCCGGGTGAAAAACCCATCCACCATTTATGTATTTACATGTCTCCATAGGTGTCATTTATAATAAGAAACATTATTTTTTAAATAAATTTCAGTAACTTAAATTATTTCAAAGATATCCAAAATACATTAAAATGGTCTGAACAGACTATAGCTGTGCTCTATTGCCTCTTATTCCTTTTGTAACAAAAAAGGTATATACTTCAAAATCACATTCAGAGCCGGGCTCGGTGGCTCAGCCTGTAATCCCGCGCCTTTGGGAGGCTGAAGTGAGAGGATTGCCTGAGCCCGCGGGTTCGAGACCCGCCTGGGCAGCGAGACCTCATCTCTACAATAAATCAAAAAATCAGCCGGGCGTGGTAGCGCACGCCTGTAATTCCGGCTACTCGGAAGGCTGAGGCGGAAGGATCGCCGGAGCCCAGCAGGTCGAGGCTGCGGTGGCCGGGAGCGGCCACTGCACTCCAGTCTGGGTGACAGAGTGAGACTCCAACTC